AGTATGCTTGGAACTGTATGTCCGAAAATTATTTAAATAGACATCACCCCTTTATACGACTTTGCATCGGGCTTTCAAACATACTGTATATTCTTAAGGCCCATTTACATGGTGCCAGTTTCTTGCCTGTTGTATACAATTAAATTGAAGCAATAAATGAGTTGCATGGTCTAAACAACAAATGGTCTAAACAATTATTGCGCGCAATTTATTGCATTCAATTATTGCTCTTGTATGTACAAGAAAATGGCATCGTGTAAATGGGCCTTTAAGCATCTGTTGCAAAAACCGCACATGTCTGAATGCAGCTACTGGAACATATAACGAAATACGGAAGTCGAAAGAGAAACAATGTTTGCAAGAAATAACGGTGCCCTAGTTGGAAATTGAATTAAATTCGATTATATTCAGTACTTTAATCTCATTTCCAACATGATTTTAACCGTGGTGGGCCCACGTAACAGTTCTCTGTTGCACGAATGGGCAAGCCCATCCGGCTAAGTACCACGTGAAATGGTAGCTTTACACATCACAGAAGACCACGTGAGGTGGAAGTGTTACACTTAACAGAGCGCCACGTGAAGGGGAAGTGTTACACTTCTGCCTTTCGTCTAGTGAGCGAGATGGCCGAGGGCCACTTTATTATAAAGTGGCAACGCTGCAAACCTACGGGTGTTGCAAATGTCAACGGGCGGCTGTCATCACTTAACATCAGGTGAACCCTCAGATCACTTCCACCAAAGCATTAGACAGTCACCTTGACACAAAAAAAGAACGACCCAGATTATAATTATAACTTAAATCCATATCCGGACATCTTCATAGATATCTTACACTAGTATGTGTAACATTTCAACGTAGTCCATTGAATTACGCCTGCAAACGACCTGTATTAAATTTATTTATTTATTTTGTAGTCTAAGAAATATATGGGCAAAGAATAAATAAATAAATAATAAATAATATTTTTTGGAAACATTTTTACACAACATTCTCCAGTCCCAAACTAAGCAAAACTTGTACTATGGGTAATAGAAAACTGATAAACATACTTGAACATACCTTTCCTTTGTAAATAAATACATATGATACATATATAAACACCCAGACACTAGAAAAATACTATGTTCATCACACAATATTTTTGCAGTAGTGGGGATCGAACCCACACCCTCCGGCGCAGGAGGCAGGTACACTACCCACAACGCCATTCGGGTCGCCAAAAGAATCTTAGCCAGTTGTTTCTACAAGTAAAGGTTTTCATGCTTTAACATTGATAATAAGTATTAAATAAAACTAGTTTACTGATTTGATCGCGTTTTTATTTTGTTTTGAAATTCCTGACGTTTCAAACCCTTTCCAGCGTTCATGGTCACGGGACAGACTCTGGTCAAGAAGTCAACTGATAATAAGGATAACAAAAAGTGGAATAGACAATAAAAACATTAAAAAGAAACAATAAATTAATGAAATAAAAAAAAATAACCGCCTTACCTTAGCTTTTCTAAGTGTATCCATTTTTTTAAATTAAATTCTAGACATAATTAATGTTATATAAAAAATAATAAATATTTAAAATCACTTGTAATTACATTCATTTGAACTTATCTCAAAAAGTGCGTGATTTATACGCAACTCATTTATTTTACGCGCGATCATTCATAACTAACACGCACATAAGTTCTTGCGCAGTAAAATTTAGGTATTTATGAATGACCGCATTGTCAACACGTTCTGTTTTTTAGGAAATAGAATGGCAGTTTTTGGAAAAAAACTTTGATTTTTATTTCAATAAACGATTATACTACCGAGTCTGAACCTCCTGTGTAAATTTGGGATTTCTCAAAAAATATCCCTGTATATGCGTCACGCGTCGTCTGGTGAGTGAGGTAATTGGGGCCCACTGTTGAAAGGTATTTTCAACCCTCGGGTGTTCTGGATTTCATTCGGCGGCGGTAATCACTTATTAGGTGACATTAACAAATACTACAGATTTAGCTTTGTCGGATCAAGGTTCCATAAGTTAGATAGACCATATCTAAGCAGAGGTACATGTGAACATGCGTGCTTTGTCATAACGAGGGATTGTGTAGGATCCTCGTAACAACTTTCATTGAAAATACCACGTGGCTTCAGCGATAATATAAATTCGTATAAAGAGGCTATATCAGTTGTGTTGACTAAAACGCTATAGTATAAAGCTGTTTATAAAAGATGATAAATAAATCGGAAATCGAACAATGGAACGGGGAGGAAATAAAACACGCTTGTAAATGTATGATTTGGTTTAATACAACACTAATTAAGTATATAATTTACAATGATCGATAAATGTACGGCGCGTTGGGCGCCAAAGTGGGACAGAGAGATCCAGCCGGACGGCCGTCTCTTTCCCCCCCACTCGTGTAAAAACGTCCGTCGAAGTAATCTTGTCATAAACAGCGACGCACTGCGCGCGAATAAAATTATAACATATAAATCAATTCCAGACATTTCCAAACTGCGTTACATTTCAACTAGTCCGTTGTACTTCGACTACAAATAAACTGTATCAAATCAAAACGTGTACGTAACAATAATAAAGATTTGAACGTTGAAAGTTAAATCGGTAATAGGGATCTACATAGTAATTTAACAGGAAGAGTACTAACTCAAATACAAGTTTCTTTTTAATTTCTCTGTCAGCTGTCATCTTGACAGTTTAACTAAATTAAAAAAAAAAAATCCTTAATACATAAAGTACATCATTAATACATTCCTAAAACATAGAAGAAATGTACAACAACGTGTTATCTTAAACCAAAAATAGGTACTAAATATTAGTACAATAAAAAAAAAATACAGCTTGTCAATTCGAAACAAATCAAACGCAAAACGATTTAAAAAATATATTCTATTAAACGGGAATAGCACGGCATGTAAACTCCTAAAAAATACTATAGAAATTGAATTTCGAAAAATAAAATAAACTTTCGACTAATTTCAAATAAATTTCCCAAAAAATAAAATAGTAAAATGCGCTCGCGCATGCGAAAAAGCGAAATGGAAACTCTTTGGGTCAGTCTGCATTACGCATACAAAACACGCCGTCTCACTCTTTCGTCCAATGGAAATCTTCCGTCCCGTTTCCGCTCACGGAAAATTACCGCGACCAAAGAGATCCCATTTCGAGCCTTACGGACGAACGGTACAATTCTACTAAGAGTTTTTAAGCGATATTATGTTCCGAAATGGTTATATGCGATAGGTTACAGCGAGACGTCCGTTTATATTAACGTTAAATATTTAATAACTATACATACATAATTGTGATATGATCGTTTCCAACCTATTAATAAGTTAAACAGCTGCCGTATAACGCCGGGCTGTCATAGTAAATGCACAGATAACCTACAAATGCAATGTTTACACAATGTGGGTAAAGAAAAAAAAAAAACAATCTACTAACGTATAATATAGGTACTGTAGAAATGTTTACCACTACGAGTAAGTTTTCCTTTTCATCTAAATCATCTACAACATCAACGATTTCAATATGCCTTCAATACACGTTTACAAGAGCCCACATTTATTATTTCTTAAACAATTTACAGCTCCGTGTTAACGATGAATATTTACAATCTAAGCCTAAATGTAAAAAAAAAACTATTAAAAAAATAAAACACAATAAACAATTCCATGGAATCACAATAAGAAGCGAATTTAAAATGGTACCAACTTGTCTATGGCACGTTGTAAATACGAAAAATTGGGAGGAGGGGGGATGGGGGGAGGTGTAAGGTTGTGAAGGTTCTTCAGATCATTTGTCAAATCACAAGTAGCCGACGACTATTGCATGCATTCATATAAAGCGCTTCTGAGATCTATCTTTGATAATTCCTTTGCCTTCCAAACAAAACACAAATGGCCGTCGATCAACGGAACCATAGGAAAGACAACAACGAAAGAAAACGCTATGCGTGAACGATTTATGTACCATTAACTTTAAACAGTCCAAATACAACTACTTATTGTTCTTAAAATTTTATATTACAAATGATTAAATATTTTTTTCCCATTTAAATATTGATATGGACCTTTTAAGGTCGTGGTCGGCGCAAATGGTCGCGACCGAGTCCTACCGACAAACAGCTACGTACCTAACTTAGCCTACAACTAACAATTCGAAAATTCCCCTAAATTACATAGAAATAATATAAACGTAGAAACGTTAACGAGATGATGGTTACGAGTGAGATATTAATAGCTATAATACTTGAAGGGGTCCCGTTAGAGCGGTTCCGACTGACGAAAAGTAAAGAAAACCTATAAATGTCCGGCTAAAACAACCGTATAGCTACATCCGACTAAACTTAGTTAAACTCCGCACTGAACACAAACGCTATATCTAAAACGGAGCTCTACACCCGTAGGTTACTTGGTATTACTGTGATATACATATAGAAGCCTATGACTACCTGAAATCGGTTCATTTATCGTATAGTTTAGTAGACTAACTAAATTGCTGATGAAATTCGCCGGTTGTACAATCGTCGCCAATTTCGATGCACATTCCGACTCTGTTTAGAGAGCGTGTTGTTTGACTGCCGTTTTCAACTGATCAGTAGCTTGGATTGTTCTTCGGGATGTGGTGCTTCGCTGGGTTGTTCTTCGATTATCATTAAGTTTGGGGCATTGCTTTCTACAGTTTACTTTTCGATCTGATCCATTGACGCTTTAGCGATAACTGTTTAATTCAAATGTTCGTCAGTGACGTTCGCTTTTTCTCAATAGTTTGTTGAATCCAGCCGGGTGTGTTGGACCTTTTACATCGGTCCTTCTGCAATTGTTATGTTGAGTTAGATTGTTAATCGGTTCGGAAATCTTCAGAAATCCCGCTGAGGGTTACGCTGTTATTTTCTAGATATCTGTTTCCTGATTGGTCTAAATGTTTCTGAATGGTTTTAGAACTCGCATCCGATTGGCTACGACGGGGGTCTGTGTGATTCGTCGCGTGTTTATTTGTCGGATCGCTGCTCGTTGAGCGACAGGTTCTCGGCCTCGTCCTTGATGTGGGACATTGAGGGGCGATATCTGTCTTCGGGGCGGGAGTAGTCCTCGTAAGGGCTGGGCTCGCTAGAGCGGTTGCCGCTAGGCTCCTTGTTTGTGTAATCTGCAAGGTCACATCTTCACTTACCATCGGGTGAATACCTTTAACGGTAGGGCCACGCAACAGTCTTTGCTGTTGCACAAGTGGGCAGGTCCTTCCGGGTAAGTATCACGACCTCGCAGAAGATTGGCGTGAAGTGGAAGTATTATACTTTTCCTCCGGTGAGCGAGCTAGGCGGGGCCCACTTTATTGATGCCAACGCATTTGCGACACCACGGACGTTGGAAATCTCAATGGCGGTTATCATTCAACATCAGATGAACCGCCAGCTCATTTGCCACCTTCTCGCATAAAAAACATGAAAATTAGAATACACTAGCAGGTTTTTGGGAGGAAAATCGTCCCGTATAATCATATCTATTAGCTATCTGTTCAAACTTGGCGAAATTATCGCGCCGATACTAAGCATGTATTTAGCATAGACTACTTGTATAACGAAAGGTCTTCAGATGTATAGAAATATCCTTGATAAAGCATTGTCATTTATGTAAAAGTTTAAGATGTTACTGCAGCTGATCTGTGTTCTATTCTTATATTCATTTTAATTGTCGCTGATCAAGTTATTACATTCTTAAACATTTCGTAATACTTATAAAGCGTGAAGAATCAACGAAATCCCAAAACTTATTTTAAAATTAGGACAATATTAACAGTGCATAAGACATTCGTTTTAAGAATGTCACATGATAATAAGGTACGATGTATACACTGGAAGTGTCAATACATATACACATCTTATAATATATCATCTACATCATATATACCTTTATTGGAGTAGTCCGAAGCCTGCATCTCATTCTTCAGGGCGTAGATGTTCGGCTTGATGTCTTGGCCCTCGTTGGCGCTGAGGTCTTCTGCCTTCGCGTCATGGCTGGAGCTGCTGCTGCCGTAGCCGTTCATCATCTGAGGCCGGCTGTGGAGGGAACGATGGAAACCATTTTACCACATTTCCCACAACTCCCTTAATTATCGGTCTCTTCCATAGACACAGTGAATGAATGAATGAATACTTTATTGTCCACCACACATAAAAGGATACAAAAATTCACCATAGACAAACAAATTAATGGAATGCACAGTTTGACGGCTTATCGTTTCATAGCGATCTCTTCCAGGCAAACAATGGCGTAAAGGAAAGTTTAATACGTAGGTGGTTCAATAGTAACATACATAATGTATATCAGTCGTTGGTGATTTAATTTAATTTAATAAGATGAAATTGGTACAAAAAAACTAGTCATTTTTGTGCATTGCTGTACTATATCGGTATCTTCTCTGTATTTTATATAAGGAATTCTAATTCTAAATTCACAATTTTTTTAATTTTTAATTCGTTGTGATAGTGCAGTATTTTATATAGTTATTTTTTGATATAAAATATTATTCTTTTATCACTTTCTGAAGAAATTTTTCTGATGAAAAATAAACTATTTCTCCGGATTTAATTTCTAATATCAGACGTTTCGAATATATGACAGCATTCGTGGATATGGGAGGGAATTGTACTCAAAGATACAATTTTATTTTATTTCAATACTTTAACAATGTATAATAATATGTTACGAAACAAAGCCATGAATCAATGGTTTAAAGTGTATACGAATCTAGTTGACTCTAATAGTTCATAGACTTACAACGAATAGTAAAGGTCCTAGGACAGAACCCTGGGAGATCCTTATAATATACATAGCCAATCGAATCCAATAAGAAAATATATGCAGGTATCATACTTTTTTAAATCCGAGCGATTTGATAGCAGATTACTTATTTATATTTACAAACGAAACGTTTGATAATATCTTATCTAATGCCACATGAAATTAATGAATACATCATTAAAATAATGAGCGTAGCTTGTAAAAGCTTAGTGTATCACGAGTATAACATTTCAAATAGATAGTGTCAATTAGACTAACTTCGACGTTGAGGGAAAGCATTCTGAATAAATATGTTGGTTCTTTAAAATAAATCAAAGATATTTTATAACTATTTTAATTTTTAGTAGTAGTCTCTGCAATCGAACGGAAACTTAAAATTTTAATTTTTGTAGATAATTAGACAAAAGCTTTCGACGCTACGAGATTCGAAATTGCATCTCTTCGAAATTTAAATGAATATGAAATTAATGTGAACTGTGCCAATCTGCAATAGGGTTACGTGGCGGACTATCTTGTAATACTCGTTGTGCAGAAGCGGAATTTACATCTGCATTACACATACCGGCCATTACTAGATTCGGATCTGGGTGTTTGTTTGTCCACGTGAAATTTATGTATATACAATGTCCTTACAACACAGGATAATGTTATGCTAAAGTGTGGGCAATGTTTAAAAAAAAAAAGAAAGAAGAATGTTCCTTACCTATAATCATCGTGCGACGACGGATACTCCTCCGGTTGCATCATGTGATCCTCGCCGGAGATGTACGACAGGTTACAGTCTTCCATCATGCCCTGACGAAGACGACGTTAATTGATCAATTACTGTTGGATCAGTTTCGATACCTTCAAGTAGGCAATATGGATGAGATATAATTGTAATGGTTGTAGATTGGGTTGATTGACAATCTTGTCTCTGTGCTTTAGAAGCCTTGATATTGTTATCATCTGACGATTTTATGAGAGTTTTTTTCGCATGAGGGAAATGTCCATCGAGAGGGCGGTTAACCTGATGTTTGATGATCATCACCGGTTGCAGATCCTTTGCCATGCATTAAAAGAGTGCACTTCAGTAACCGCACTCATCAGACGAAACTAAAAAGTAGAATTTTGCCACTTTGCCACGGTCTTCTATGAGAATTCACGCAAGGGCAAAATTTGCCGCAAATTCAAACAGTCAACCTGTCAATAACTTAAAAATAAGAAGCGATATAATAAATTCATATGCTATTCCAGATTCCATACTTAATTTCTTAATTGGTTACGAAAAGAGATTTTCTTGTCTAAAGTAAATTGCATACGTAAAATACCGAAAAAAGGTGTTCAAAATTTTAAACCAAAACTTCAATATTTTTCTTTAAATGCCCTTCTTACATGATTCTTCTTCTACGTAGCATTTATCCCCGCAATTGCCAGGGTCTGCTTTCCTACTTAATCTTCTCCACTTTGCCCGATCTTCGACATCCTCATGGGTCCATTGGCTCTCATATCCTGCTTCACAACGTCCAGCCATCGCTTCCTTGGGCGGCCAGTAGGTCTAGCTCCTGGGACAGGCATATCAAGGCATATCCTTCCGACATATTTTTCCGACCGGCGTGCGACATGGCCATACCATCTCAGCCGCCGCTCTTGGAGCTTATCCGCTACGTCACGGACCCCGAGACTGCCTCGAATGAATGTGTTGCGTATGCGGTCAGCACGCGTGATACCGCACATCCATCTTAGCATCTTCATCTCCGTGACGTGAAGCTCTTGAGTGTGCCGAGATAGCGCTGGCCAGCACTCGCTACCGTACAGAAGTACAGGCCGGATGATGCTCTTGTAAACCTGTCCCTTCAGCTTGGGTGGTATCCTGCGGTCGCAGACCACACCTGTGACCTCTCGCCACTTAGCCCAAGCAGCGCGTATCCGGGCTTGGACATCATGGTCGATGCTTCCGGACTCGTGCAAAACAGATCTAAGGTACCTGAACGATTCCGACTTAACGGCTGGTTCAGAACCTATTTGGATCGTGCTGGAGTCCGAACTCCCGCAAGCCATATACTTGGTCTTCGCCACATTGAGTTTAAGACCGCCGTTCTCAATCGTACCCTTCCAGAGATTTACTTTTCGCTCCAGTTCCAGCCGGCTCTCGTCAACGAGCGCTATATCATCGGCATACATCATCAGCCATGGAGGCTGGTCCTGTATGTGAGCCGAGATCACATCTAGCACTACGTTGAACAAGAACGGACTAAGAGCTGAGCCCTGATGTACCCCTACAGTGATCGGGAAGGGTTTGGTATCGCCAACAGCGGTCCTAACCATGGACGCGGAATCGTGGTACATGTCTCTTGACGCCTTTGGATCGCAATGCCCACCAGATACACTGACGAGGTACACAGTCAAAGGCCTTCTGCAAATCCAGGAATGCTAGATGCAGAGCTCTCCTTTTCTCCCTGTATGCCCCCATCAAAGTTCTGAGAGCAAAATGGCATCCACGGTGCCTGAACCTGGTTGAAACCCATATTGACACTCAGAGACAGCACACTCTCGGCGAAGCCTGAGATCGATGATGCGCTCGAAGAGCTTCATGGTGTGGCACATGATTTTGATCCCCCTATAACTACCGCAATCCTGAACACTGCCCCTCCCTTTGTAAATAGGGGTTATAAAACTAAAACGCCACTGATTCGGCATCTTTCCAGTGTTCAAGATACGGTTGAAGAGATCAGTAAGCACGTCCACACCAAGGGAGCCCAACGATTTCCATGCTTCGATCGGTATGTCGTCAGGCCCGACCGCTTTCCCGTTATTCATGCGGCGGAGACAGTCCCGAGCTTCGTCAGGTGATATCGGGGCAATAAGTCCTAGGCTTGGGGGCGGTTCGGATGGAAGGCTGTGCGGGTGGTGATTGTTCAGTAAACCCAGGAAGTAGCTTTTCCATCTATCCTTCACAGAGGAAGGATTGCACAGCAGCATGCCTTGAGAATCCCTGACACAAAGATATTTGGTGATGTCTTCGTCGCTTTATCCCGGGCACGTGCCAGTTTGTATATGAGCTTTTGCCCCTCCGCAGTGTCGAGCTTATCGTACATTGGAGATAGGCTTTCGCTGCGGGCTCTGGCTACAGCTCTTTTGCTGGCACGTTTGGCTGCTATGTACTGCGCTCTGTCTTCAGGAGAGTTGGTTTGTTGCCACTTCCTAAACGCAGCCTTCTTTTCCTGAATTGCCCCCTGCATCTTGTCATTCCACCACCACGTCTCCTTGTCTATGACGCGAACTCCCTTAGAAATGCCGAGAATTCGCCGTCCAGCCGCGGTAATTGCCGTCTGGGCTCGATCCCAAGCCTCCTGGGCAGTTCCGGCGTCTGTCAAGAGCTTATAACTTTCAACCTCTGCCTGGAAGTCTTTCTGCATTGGTCCATTCAGCAACCACCACTTAATTCTTGGTTTGCGTTTCTCGGTTACTTTCTTTTTCGGGGTAAATAAATAGTCCATGACAAGGAGACGATGTTGGGCCGTCAGGCTCTCACCAGGAATGACTTTACAGTTAGTCACCTTGCCAATATGACATCGTCTGGTCAGCAGATAGTCGATTTAAGTTGAGTGGGATCCACTCTTATACGTGATAAGGTGCTCTTATTACATGATTAGCTGCTGAAGAATCCAGAGAAACATTCTATATTACAGTTTTCTATATTAAAATTCTGTACTAAAACTCCGTAGAGCCTTTATAGCTCAGTGACCGGACGCTCGCCTTTAATTCAATGTACTCGAGCAACCTGAGTTCGATCCCCGGTGCCGGCACCAATGAAGTTTTTAACTTTAAGTGCTGACTTATACGTGCTCCGTGGTGAAGGAAAACATTGTGAGGAAACCTGCATATTTTCGAAATAATAACAAAAAAATAAAGTCCGCCAATCCGCAGTGGGGCCACGTGATGGACTATGCCCTGATACCCTGTGTATAGAGGAGGCCTTTGCCCAGCAGTGGGACATATATAGGCTATTATTTACTTTTTACTTTTACTAAAACTCCATAATAGAATGCTGTGGAAACCAACCTGAAGATTTCGTTTTAGAGCCTCGCTGTAACCGTGGGGGCTAGTCATCATTGGAGGGCTTTGTGCTCCCATGAACCTGTCGACATAAATCCAATTAACACTACCAATATCGAACATCCTTTTTTTTTGATATCTCTGGGGGTAATCATTATTAAAGAAACTGAATATTTTAGGCAAAATGGTGCATTTAAAAATTTGAAACTCAAAAACTGCTATGGAAATTTGTTTGGCACATGGAAGTTTTTACATCGATGATGTGTTGATAAAAAAAATAACAGAGTCATACCCCCATCGATGGTCTGTATGTTTTCAAGCGTTATAAAATAACAAATAGTGTAATTTGTTGCAGTGTGATATCTGTGAAGTGTCGAATTTGGAATACGTTGGTCCAATTTATCTGTTGAGGAGTCGGTAAAACCAGTGTGTTTGTGAATGTATGTCGATAGAGATAAAAGATAAATAGAATAAAAGTAGATTAAAGGGAATAAAATAAGCAAGCACAATATAAGAAAAAATAGTAATTAGAAAACACACGAACTAGCATGCGACGGAGATGCAAAGGCGAAGCTCTCAAGCGGGACTTACCTGAAGGCAACGGGGGTTGAGCATGCAAACATCAAACGGGGGGATAATAAGAAAAGAAAAGATCACTTCACTCTTACTTGGGTATCCAACGACGATCCATCGTTAAAATTAGAAACGTAAAATACGAAATTCATGCACAGAATAGACCACCAAACAAACACGAATCCCCAATCGCATGGGCCATCGAGTCCACAAATCGAAATATCGTCATTGTAACAATAGCAACATATCGTGAATTAAGCTTGACTTTGACAATCCGACTCGAGTGATGTTATAAACTATAGCAAAACAAGGGTTACAGCTTTGCACTCTAGAAGTCTATAATACTGCGGTGCTTACGTTGTCTTAGTGAATTAGGTCAGATGTTGTTTGTAACGTCATAATAAGGGGCAAAGAACGTAAACACGCGCAGTATTGCGTCTTACTATGTTATGTTATAACGACGTGTTTAACTAGTTACAATCTAACATGACAAATTTGAATATGTATATATGTATATATATCTAAGCTTACACAGTGATAACACTTTACATAACGTTCAGAAACATCGATCTAAAATTTAAAAACATAAACCAAAAATTACATGATCGCATTGTCTCGTAATAGTTAATTTTTGGTTCTTTCCTAGACGTTTCACAAACATTGAAACTATAATGGACACGAGCGTCCAACGATCCCGATGTTTTCAATTCTCAATACGAAAGCGATAAAAGTCTAAGCTTTATTAATATTTGAAGTCTGAACAATTTCTCAGCTTCCTTAGTTTTCATCGTATGTAGTATATACGCGTTTCAAAATGTTACAAACTAAACAGCTCTTAACGCGACGGCAAAAATAATACAAGGAACTGATCAAAAATAGATGAACAACGATGGCCAATCTATAGACCGTCTGTCTCGTACTGTCAGTGCGCTTATTGGCAAATCGATAAATGGGTTTTAACTGTCTGTGTGTCGTCTTATCGTAGTAGGAACATCCTTTACCATTGTCATTGTGTCTTTAGTTCAGCAGATAAACCTATAATAGCAAAAAGACTATTGGTCTGTCGATTTAATAACTGTAATTTTGAGACCGGCTATTAGTCATTCAATAGATTGCCTTTAACTATCAGTGCGTCTATTAGTCAATCGATAGATTAGCGTTAACTATCTGTGTGTCTATTGGTCAATCGATAGATTGACTTTAACAATCTGCGCGTACCTCAAAATCATATATTTTCGTCTGCATCTATCAGCGTCTATCTAGACAATCGATAAATCTGCTGTAACCATAAACTGATGATTGACTAATAAATTGATCGTTACTATCAGTCTGTCTGTTTGCCAAATGATGTAACTAGCTGTATGTGTCCGTGTGTTGTGTGCCAATAAACGAACTGGATGTAACAGTCATCAACTATGATGACTGCGTCTCTTCAACAGCGGTTCGATGCGTCAATACGCGCAATCGAATCTGATGTAGTTGTTCGCCAGCTACATCGGATGCGAGTGCGCGAATTAACGTCTAGCCAGAGTATCTATTGGTCAATAAACAAAATCAGTAACAGTCGGATGCGTCTGTCGCCCTATCACTACATCGGATGCGTCTGTGCGTATTTGTTTATTGGCCAATAAAAAACTGGCCTCAATAGTCGACGCGTCGATTGACCAATCGCTACGTCGAATGCGACTGCGCGTATTTGTTTATTGGCCAATAAAAAAGCCGACCGCAATAGTCGACGCCGTCGATTGACCAATCGCCACGTCGGATGCGGCTGCGCGCTGATTCAATAGCCAATCGCGTCTCGCGGCGCGGCCCGCGTCGGGGATCAGATTCGTTGGACGGTCGCGGCCCGCTGCGTTTCGCCCTTACTGTTGGGGAGCGGCGTTGGGCCCCTGCGCCGGCTCATACTTGCGCGGCCGGCCGCGGCTCAGGTGGCGCCGCTTCACAAACTCCGCGTCGTCCACCATCCAGAACGAGCCGAAGTCGTCCTCGTAGCGGACGAAACATTTGTGCAGGGACAGGTTCGTCCGGATCGCGTTCTACAATTCATCCGCCGCTATGTAACAACACCGAGAGTGCCAAACGCGAGAGTCCGATGCGACCCCCACGGTTGGGTCAGTTCTCAACCTTTGCAACCCCAAGAGCTGTGCTCCCATCGCGGTAAGGTGTTTATTAGAGGTTAGAGACCTCGCCAGTAGTTGCCGCGATGGGAGCACGGCCAGATCGTCGTGGAGACTTTGCCGTTCATGCAGGATTCGCCCAAGAAGAGGTGACCCGGGGAGGGGGAGGAAGAAGGGGTAGGGTTAATAGGCAAGCGAGAGAAAAAACGTTATGCCACCGTTGCGCCGGAAACTCCACGTACACACACAATACGAGACCTAAATACCAAGATATAGTAACAAGACCCCACAACGGTACCGTTATCAAGAACCACTACACAAATAATTACGAAAAAATTCACAAAAAAAAAATTTTCTGAAACGAGATAAAAAACGTTTATTTACACGATAAGAGTTAGGTACATGTCTAGGTTAGATAGAAAATATTTAAAATAGGAGATTAATAATGTTGGTCGGATGTCGAAAGTGTAGTAAACAAGAACGCGTAAAAGGTATTTATGTAGTGTAAAAGTTTGCTGAGATGTGTAAAAGTTTAGTGTCAATAAAATTTAGATAATGTTTTGGGTACGTGTAAAATTGTAGAGTTTTATTTTCTGTAATATGTACTGAAGTATAAGTGAGCTTGTTGCATTCAATCCTTTTGATGACATTAACTAGATTTAGCATTAGCGTTATTTTTCATTTTAAGTTAATTATGAAATCAGCGTTAGTCAATCATGCGATCAGTTCATGAACCCGTTAGAAAAATACCATTTTCTGGGAACGTGTTAAAAAAGTGTAGTAAATGTTTAGTTTTAGTGTAGTAAAAGTCTGTATGTTTTATATTGCAATGAAATTCGTTATTATAATATAATAATTGTTTAAAGTCCAGTTAGATATTATAAACCTGCACAAATTACACTATGTGATGCATTGTATTCAAAGTTAAGAATAAAATATACACAGGAATTTTGAATGTATTTTAGCTGGATTGAATAATGGAGTTTTATATGGAAAATATTAGAAAATATGGGCGTGAAACGTTTTGTGTAAGTAAAGTGACAGACAGAAATTACATTTCTGTTCGAAAAAACTAAGTGAACACGTATGATTGAAGTTAATGCTCGGTTACTGGTGCAATCAATTATACAGTACAATATGTGAACAGCAATATACAATGTAAAGTGTATTCGTCTGACAGAAGAGCTAATTGGAAAAAGTAGAGTTACATTCCAAGTGATAAATTATCACAGTATAGAACAATATAAAACGTGCTAAAAGGATGACCAAATGCTTAATGTCAAAATTATACCGATTATTTCAAGCGTAAGTAATTTTATAAAGTATAGTGTAACAAACTAGCATAGGTAACAACTTTGTAAACTAAACTTAATATTTACTCTTAAAAAATGTGTAAGATTAAAAAGTGAATGCAACTCCTTTGTAAAGTGTGTTTCTGTTAAAATCAAGCGTAAATGTAAATTTCGTATTTAAAGTGTATAAGGTATCAAATGTGTCTTGTCCCGAGAGTGTAAAGTGGACCCATGTGTGGTACTTGCTTTGTTAGAATATTAATTTCTTGATCATTGTGTCAAGTGTAGAAATGTTGTAAGTGTTGGAGTGACCCATGGAACTGAGGGTATAATATGTATTGAACGTACACGTTGTAACTAAAACATAACTAGTGTAACAAGAGTAATGGTTATAGTCCAGTAAGTAAGCCGCGTTTTTCATGTTTTATTTTTTTTATTGTTTATTACCTGTGCGCCAAGTGTGTAAAGTGTTTAGACTGTGGCAAGTTTTCTTAGAGTTAAAAGCATGTCACGTGACGAGTATAACGAGTATTCAACGTATTCAAGTATGACAAATACGCCGAACATGTAATGTCGAACATTTGTCCTTAGTGTAACCGCAATAAGTGCGTCGTGAGTAAAGTATTCCAAGTAAGTCAAATGTACCAAATATTACATGTATAATTAGTATTCAAATGTGATAAATATCCCATGTGTACGTAACGTATGTTAGCAATTAAGTATGGACGAGTACTGAGTGTTCAATTTTCCCATTTTTTTTTTATTTGTGACAATTATTTTAAGTGTCCCGTGTTAAGGATTAACAAAGTGTACTAAGTGTATCAAGTTTTTTTATGAATAATACATGTTAAAAGTGTGAGGAGTGCGGCATACAAAAAATGTTATAATTGTGACAAGTGTGTCATGCATAGAAAGGATTATGGTTGTGTCAAATGTGCTTTGTACGCGGAATGTTACAAACATAATAGGTGTGTCATACAAGACAAGTATAAATTGTTCCAAGCGTACCCGCAATAAGTGTGCCGAGTGTCGATAATGTTCTTCGTGTAACCGTTAAAGGTGTGCCAAGTGTTGATAGTGTTCCAAATGTAATCGTTATAAGTATGCCAAGTTTTGTTATAGTTCCAAGTGTAGAGTGTGCCAAATGTTGATAGAATTCCAAGTGAATCCACAAAAAGTGTGCAAGTGCCGGTAGAGTTCCAAGTGTAACCAATTGTGGTTATTAAAGTGTACTTATTGGAGTGTGCCAAGCGTTAATAGTGTACCAAGTGTAATCGAAGTGTGCCAAGTGCTGGCAGTGTTCCAAGTATAACCGGAGTGTGCCAAGCGCTGACGGTGTTCCAATCGTAACCGCAACAAGTGGCCAAGTGTAACCGTTATAAGTGTGCCAAGTGTAAGTGTTCCGAGTGTGTTCAAGTGTAAAGTGTGCGAGCTGCTGAACCGCGGGCGCGTACCCCGCGTGCATTGGCGGAGCGTGCGCGGCGCGCTGCGGCCGCCGCTTGTAGAACTCCACCTCGTCGACGGTCCACACGGCGCCCTTAACGTTCTCCACCCGCATGAAGCACTTGTGCAGCGACAGGTTGTGCCGTACCGCGTTCTGTTCGTACGCTCGCCGTTTATATGTCGCACGCGATAACATTTCGGACGGTTACATAATTATCCCCGGCCCTCCGTAGACCCACGCGCAACGTTCGACATTTCGACGGTAAAAGTAATGTAACCAATAGATGCAGTCAGCGTCTCAGTTTGTGGCGTGACAGGTAAGCCGTTTCAGGGGCCAAGCTTGCCATAGCTAAATAATTTTGGAAATATCTTTTCTAGAAGAAACTACCGACTTTAACTCCAATCATAAGCGTTCAGTTTACGTTTTGTTGACTTTGTCTTAGTTAGGAAGTTTCATGTTCATTTGTTAAGAGTATCTTTTTTACTTCTTCTACTTTTTAACATCGATATAAGCAAACTTGACCACTGAGTGTTGATTTAGATTCATAAAACCAATTATCTTCAAAATAAAAAAAATTATGAAAACTTTCATTAATATCAGATGTCAATGTCTTCCGAAAATCGAATACGTTTTTAAATAAATGATCTCGACGGTAAACTTACAACAATATGATTATCCGAAGACAATGGACACATATTAAACAAAAAGAACAACTATTTTATGAATGTTTACCTCGGAGCCTTTATGTGGGAACCTCCTTAATGTGGGATCAAAACACGAATAGTAAAGCGACAATATAAAGTTATTATAGAAGTCTCGACTTAACAGTAAAAATTCTGTTATCGTTAATTCATCACATATTTTTAGATATGACGAATCCTACCTTCCAGGTCGCCGCGTTCCGTCGGAAATAGCAGAAGGTGCTTTGGAACCAGTTGTAGATCTCGTTCAATGTGAGCTGCTTGTCCGGAGATTCGATTATCGCCTGAAATCGAAATCGATCATAAAAAGGATTAATTATCTTTAACACGTGATCAGAAATCATCACCATGATAAAATCTGATAGATGCAAATGGAGAAAATGTTTAGACAGTTTCGTATATCATTATCCTGTACATTATAAGCCATGTTACACAATTTTTTTTAAATAATCCTAAATGTTAATGCTAACGTTTCAAATAAATAGATCGTTATTTGATATTATAATCAAATGTTTTCAACGTCAATGATAAATATATTAATGAACCATATAATGAATGAACAATGTATTAAAAATGAAACGCAGAAAAGGCAGCAAAGGTCAATCTTTTTTTTTGGTTTATGTGGGAAGGTGGCAGTCGAGCTGACGGTTCACCTGATGTTAAGTTATAACCGCTACTCATAGACATTCGCAAGGTTGCAGATGCGTTGCCACCTTTTAATAAATTGAGCCCCGGTAATCTCACTCACCAGACGAAACGCAGAAGTATAACATTTCCACTTCTGCGAGGTCGTGGTACTTACACGGACGGACAACGTGCAACAGCCGAACATATCTTAATGTACTCCATTTTTGCGCTTTACACTTTCAAAACTCCATTTTTTTTTTTTTTATGCGAAAAGTTGTCAAACGAGCAGACGGTTCACCTGATGTTAAGTGAATACCGCCGCCCATGGACATCTGCTACACTCGAGGGTTACAGATGCGTTGACAACCTTTTGAAAATTGGGCTCCGGCTACCTCGCTCACCAGACGAAACGCGAAAGTATTTGTCATACTTCCACTTTACGCCGGTCTTCTGTGAGGTCGTGGTACTTACCCGGACGGGCCTGCCCATTCGAGCAACAGCCGAGGCTGCTGCGTGGCCCTACCACCGTAAAACCATACTCCAAGAAGGCTCATAAATCTGTGTAGCTCATTATAACGTGACAACTACAGCGTGAAACTTACCTGGCGGATGAGCGAGGCGTAAGTGAACGGGGGTCGGACGTCAGCCGACTTGTAAAACTCGCGGTTGCGCTGTATCTCTGCGGAGGGGATAGACGGCGATTTACTAATAAATCGAGAGAAAGAAACATTGGTAATCCTAAATATTGATATTTTATAAATATGTACTACATTAAATCTATCTAGATTACATATTATCTAACAAATGGCATGATGCCAAGAACGCTGGCTGCATTTCCTTGCTGAATAGTTAGTTGTGCTTCAGCTTTGAGCGAGAAAAGAACCAGCCCTCTTGTCACCAGCCAACAAATTGAATCCCTTCATTATTGGTTTCCAGATATCTGCATCATCTATGATGACGTCGACGATGAAGTTGATGACAACAACATCATCTATGTCTGTAACATATATTTATGTTACAGACATAGATGAGTATTAAAATATAGTTAGATGTCAAAAATGATTTCAATTTAGATAATATTAACTTTCAAAGAATATTATAGATGCTCTAATGCCCTATTAAGATATAACGTTGCACAACAGGCACTGTCTTATCCGCATTCCCTTTAAAAACTTCCTGGCTCTCATGATTTAACTTCAAACATAATTCAGTAGAAGCCTATTGACTAACATACAACGATATTGTACGTTATATACGTTATTTGAATTAACATTTGGAAATAGAACCCTAGACGCAACTCATGCAAGATGAAGCAGATACTTCACTTCTGTTGATACTCTACAAGACATGATATAGTTTATTTGTTATGAAACTATATTAACGGATTTTATAGCGTTATATATATTTTATAGTGTATTTTTAAATTCCCAACATTTCAAATATTCTAAATTCTGACTATGTTTTAAGTACAAAGTGGGCTACAGTCAGATTTTTTAGTAATTTATTTGTGGGCCGTCGGGAGATAGAGTATTCGTAAATACATGTAGTCGTTATGACGTGCATTGACTATTTTCGGAGATGCTTTCTTTACCTTGTTGCACGTCTAATCCAGCCCTTTCGAGCATATAAGGCAGACCTTGGTGGGAGAAAACACAATTTTTTAAGATGAGAAGAATTAAATAAGTAACCAAGTAATCCTTTATGTGACCTACATTAACAATTTTATATTAAGCTACACGACCAATTTTTTATTTTATTTTGATAAAATACTTTAACAACTTCAACCAGATCTTTATTGAGTACTCTCCATTGATCATTTTTACTTAGGTAATCACAACATCATAATGTTTTTGACTATTCAGAGCTTCATCTATTCCGATTCAAAATTTCATGTTGTAATCAGTAAATTCCTATTGGTGTGGTTTTGAAAACGTAAGAATTACAAGTTATATCGCTTCGTCATCATTTCAGTTATTTATGGCCACTGTAGAACATAGGCCTCCCCTAAATATTGCAAAGGCTAATCTTGAGCCACCTGCTTCCATATACTTTCGGCCAATTAAAGTCTTAACTTCATCTAGTGTTTTTCTTTTAAATATTGCTTATTTCCAAATTTGAAATACCGACGGTACACATCCCCAATTTGGGTTTATTGGTTTGTTAAATTGGTGTCGGTTTCGTTTATACTTGATTTCTATATTGTTAATGTGTGTTGATAATGAATAAATATTTCGGGACATATTTTTACATAACGTTAACTAATCCCAAACTAAGCAAAGCTATGGGGTACTAGGTAAATTGATAAACATACTTATAAATACAAAATACATAAAATACAAAAGACACAAGAAATTGTTCATCTTGCAAAATTTTTCCAGTAGTGAGGATCGAACCCACACCCTCTGCGAGTAATGACAGGGTAACTATCCACTACGCCAATTGGGTCTTCAAAGTTTGTATTTAATATATTAATATATATGTATATGATGTATGAATGAATGAATGAATATTCTTTATTGCACACACCATGGTAAAAAGAATACATTAAAAATAACAATTATGTAAGGGTTGTACACTGGGCGGCCTTATTACTTAAAGCAATTTCTTCCAGGCAACCTTTGGATGGACATAATATGAGAAGAATATTTTAGGGGTGTGGGTAAAATTCTATAAATTTTATAAGATAAATACATTCTTTGTTGTAAAAAATAAATAAATAAATAGATAAATGAGTACATAAATAACAAAATAAATTTATATATATTTATATATAACATATATACATATATATATATATATAAACATAGTTAATACATTCTGTATCTAAACCAGATGTACAGAGGTATATATCTGTGTATACGTTGTATTACTTTTGGCTCATTATTAATTTTGTCTATTTCGGGTGGATGACTTCTTGTATTGTTGTAGCCTGTTTATTAGTGTTTACATATTTGGAGAATGAGTATATGGTATCTAAGGGGGTCCTACATTGCAATGTTATTTTTCTAGGTTTTTTTAATTCAATACTGGCCAGTACTTGATGGTAAGTGGCGATGCAGCCTTTGATGGAAAAACTTACATAATAAAAAGATTTTGCGGCGTTTTTTATGCTTACCTCCGGCAATGGCAACACCAGACTTGTCGGAGACTCGTCGCCTGACCGGACCAGGAGAGGCGCCCTCGCTAGCACCGCCTAAAAGAACGCTTGAAGATCTAACTACAGCTTCCCAATATGTTGTATTTCACCTGAGTTGTTTGTGGTGTAAAAGGACAGATATATTTAGGTAGGATAACATTATCCTGTGTTGTAAGGCCGTTTTACAAACATTTTCACGCGGACAACACATATGCGAAACAACCATCTGTGGGTCACAAAAATAGTTGTCCCGTGTGAGAATCGAACCCACGAACCCCGACCGGTTCGGTATCGGTTCTTCGAGCTATATGGTCGGCCCATTACCACTTCCGCTTACTATTTTCTGAGTCATGTCGGTTGCCATAGTTGCGATTGATGCTTCATATTTATCATTTGTGTCTTGTGTGTACACTATTTTCTATGTTTAGTATTATCTTTATTGCTTGTTTATGCACTCAGCAGTTATTAGGTCATAGTCATCGATTGGCGGACTTCACGTATCATCGAAATATCTACCCCCCTCCCAAAGTAACTTCAGTCTGTAGCAGCGCATCCAAGCTATTTCCGCCTGTGCCACTCACCGTGTGGCAGTTTGTGGTGGGTGTCCCTGGCGGCGTGCAGGTGGCGCATCATGGCCGCCAGGCGGTCCCTCTCGCGGCGCAGCTGCAGCTCCAGCTGGGCCACCACCTGCATCTGCACGCGGGCCTGGGCGGCCGACCGGTCGTCCAGCGTGTGCGCCGCCTCCAGGTGCCTACGGAACGTCACCAGGGTCACCCTCGGATTATTTCTATGCGAGGAAGTGGCAAACGAGTAGACGGTTGGCCTGATGTTACGCGATAACCGCAGATACGTTGCCACCTCTTAATAATGTGGGCCCCGGGCCACCTCACTTTACGCCGGTCTTCTGTGAGGTCGTGCTACTAACCCGGACGGACCTGCCCATTCGTGCAACAGCGTAAACTGTTGCGTGGCCCTACCAGTCTTAACTAGTCTTGGCTTTATTGACGACGTGCTTCGGTGCTGGGACTAGGTAAAGCTAGCCTTCTACACAGAACTCGTCTTGGTCTTATGGATATACGCCACGCTTCTCTCACACGAATGGCCTACCCGTCCGGGGTAGTAGCACGGCCTCACAGAAAACCAGCGTGAAGTGAAAGTCTTGTACTCCTGCGTTTCGTCCGGTGTGCGAGGTTGCCGGGGCCCATTTTATTAATGGCAACGCATCTGCGACCCTGCGGGCGTTGCAACGGTCATAATACTTTCGTCTAGCAAGTGAGGTAGCCAGGGCTCTCTTTTTAATGGTTGGGAACGTATCTGCAACCCGATATCGTAGATGTCAATCTGCGGAGGTCCACTTAATATCTCGCTCGCCTTTAGACATTTCACAAAAAAAAAATTAACGTATGTGTTTTTATGACAGGGGTTGAGAAAGAGCAGATGGTTTCTAGTGTAAAATTACTGAAAAGAGTACTCACTTTAGGAATGCTTGATAATCATCGGCGAGCGCGTCGCAACCGGGCCACTTGCAGACCCCGCGCCCGAAAAGTGGGTGTTCCTCCATCTCACTCCCCCACAGCATCAGACCTTGTGTAGAGAAGGAATGCTGGCTAGTCTAAGTCTGACTTCCGTTCGACTCTTAGATTTTATTCGCCTGATGCCTCGCCGTACAGACTTTCGTAGTACTACGGATGTAGCAAGAGCAATAAATAGCACAGTTTAAATGTATTTCTGATTATATCATCATTGCCAGCCTGTTAGAAATATAAAAAAAAGAACAATCCTCGTTTTTGTTAATACTCTGTGTTTTAGTTTTTCTCAGCATGGAAAAAAAATTAAGTACGTATTTTTTTACTACTGACCAAGTGGATAGCATATTGAACATTTAGTATTTTTTTTTTTTTTTAGTTCCGACTGAATTGTCGTTCTATTATTATTATTATAGTTAGTGCTTATCCTAACTTCTTAGACTATTTTACTTTTCACACAATCGAATGAAAGCTACATCAAATCATCTCTCCCATCCATTCTTTACACACAGATATTTTACCCGTGCAACGTGGCTTATTGAAATGGTAGACTTACCTGGTGGTGCGTTTGGTGGCACCGACAGGGGCCCGTGCATCAAGTATTGGCGCTGAACAGCTTGCAGCTGCTGCACCAGCTGTTGCTGCTGGGCCCCCAGCTGTTGCTGAAGAGATCCTGGAGGGAGAACTGCATCAGTTGGCCAACGCAAGTCTCTGGCTAATTCTTTGCCTGCGTTTATTTCGACAGAACCAATATTCGGCTTTAAACGGCCCGTTTTCAGCGTAGAAATCGTGTATAGAAATAATTTAGGTGCTGAAAATTATTGGTTACGTCGTTGCCACGCTGAGCTGCAGGCATTAGTAGGCAGATTTTTAAATCTGTCTACTAATGTATATGTTACCTTTTTAAAATTATGTGCAAACATTTTTTAATTTATTTAACAATGATGTGCGAGATCATTGTTTTAAGAAATATATAGTTGTCGAAATATGCGTTTATTTTTTTTAAAACAATGCCCTTACTTTAGGATAACATTATCCTGTGTTGTAAGGACGTTTAAAAAGATAAATTTACGCAACCAGATGCGAAACAACTATCTGTGGCTCAAACAAATAGTAATATTGTTTCGTCGAATATTATTTAAATATTAATTGAATTTAAAAGGGGAACACAATTTTAATATTATTCGAAATATGATTTTATATAGTAATAACGATTAATTCGGTTTGAAATAATTTTACTTATACTCTTTAGAGTAATTATCAAAAAAATTTTTTACGTAGTGGCCAAAGCTTTTCTATAAACAACCTTTGCAAAGAGAAAACCGGCTAGTTTCAGTTTTGTAGAGCGTAATATCAGTCACACATTTGTACGACCACTGACAAAACTCAAATAGGAAGTAACGATGTGCAATATTTATCACCGAGTACTGAAAAGGATTTGGATTCTTTTATAGTGAGCGCAGTAGCTCAGGAATGCTCTATTTTTGCTTTTGATTTTGTTTTCAATATTACTTTGGATTTCATTGTAATTGGGTCTATCTCGTATTACGAACGTCGTAGCTAACTTTACTTGAAAAACAAAAGAAAGTTAAACAGTTAGCTATTATTGATAAGCGGAATGTTTGAATAAAAAGTATTCAGGTAAACAATATCATAGAATTTAATTATGGCAGAAACAAAACAGATTTCCTATTGTTTCCTTTTATTGTGGCTTATAACATCAGGGAATGACGCAAATGTTTTCTGCATCTGGCACAAATGGTCGACATTACAAGCATATTTTATGCACGGGGAGAAGTTACAACTCGTCCTATGTTTTAATTTAGAGCATGTGCTACCTACTGAACAATTAGCACGCAAGTGATAGTAAAGTGGAGAATTATTCACGCCAAACGGTGCTTATATTATTATTAGCAACACTACGGTATGAATGGTTATTTGATAATCGACAAAGGGTTCAAAAATGGCAATAAAAGTAGTATGGATTATTATTAATCATTAGCTAGAAAAATTTTCATTAGGAACAGTTACAGCGTTATCAGTAGAGATACTTATTGTGTTATATTGAATTAAGTGCAGTTAGCACATAAAAAAAGTGTGATTTTTTTTATGTGAAAAAGTAGCAAACGAGTCGGCCGTTCATCTGATGATGATTGATAACCGCCGCCCGTGGACTTTTGCAACACCCGTGGGGTCACAGATGCGTTGCCACCTTTTAATAAATTAGGCCCCGGCCATCTCACTCACCAGACGAAACCCAGAAGTGTAACACTTCCACTTCAAACCGATCCTCTGTGAGGTCGTGGTAATAACCCGGACGAACCGTGTTGCGCGAACACTGTTGCGTGGCCCTACCACATTGTAGGTGTGAATGCTTAAAAGTAAGTCTAGTTTCAATTTGTTTTGTTTTGTTTCAAAAAACACACACACACAGTGCGCGATGTTTGTTTTTATAATATATTGTTTAAATAGTATGTAAGTTAATCTATAGTCTTAAATATCCACAAGGGAAGTAGCGGGTTATTCCCACTACAAGTGTCCATGACAACTTACTGCGAAAACTCGGCAAGAAGTTGTTACAAAGATTATGGAAATAAATGATTTTTTTTATTATTTATTAATTTCAAGGCAATTCACAACTCACCAGGCGATGTATCGGGCGGCTGCATGTGGGATTGCGAGAGGAGATTCAGATTGATCTGATCCTGCAACCGCGATTGCTCTAGCTGCCTCTTCGCCGCTTCCGAAGACATGTGCTACGGGGTTAACGTGTAATAAATAATTATATGACCAGGCTACAAGAAATATACGTAATCGGCGTTCATAAGATCCATATATGTATAAGCTGTAATATGAATGATATCGTTCCAATCTACAGCATAGGTAATAAAAGATCATTATCAGTATCACTCTTATAATAAATAGATGATTGTATAAAAAAGCTACCACCAGCTTGCATGCCACCTTGCGTGATTCCTTCTAACGATGATTCGATAAGCTATATTGATAAATAACAAATGAAACATTTTTCAAACAAAATACAAAATTGACATTATCGCACTCAGTATACATTTTATTCGACTTGGAGGCCCCTGATATATCTTGAGTCAAAGGTCCAATAACAATGAAGTTGTAAGAAATGTAGGAAACACATGGGTGCCAAATCGAACCCAATGTAAAAATTATTTAATTAAACTCGATTTATAAAGACAAGTATAAAAAATACAACCAAATTGAGAACCAACATTTTGAAGTCGGTTGAAAATACTAATTTGAATAAAGAATCGGCGTTGATAATGAATGAATAAAGAATAAAGATTGGGCGTTGTAACCGTTTATGATCCAATGATTAACAAAGTTGAAATTAAATACAAGCACACCAATAAATCTAAAATTCCAGATACTGTAAGTGCATTCAACGTTGTTCAGACCAGAATAAAAATGGACTTGATCGATAATGTCATTACGTATAAAGCACCTTAAATCAGTCCCGTTACAACGGACAATGTATCGTTATCAAACGTCGGAAATTAAATATCAAAATTATACGCTATGAAATAATAAACCTAGATTTTATTTAACAATCAGTAGTGTTCGCGTAAATATAAGATGTTATTACTTCCTTTTGTTATTGAAAGATAACCTTAAATATAGTGTAATAATAAATATAAATGTTGGGAATGAAAATATCCGCGTCCTGTGTTGACAATTGAAAAGATTCAGGAACAGCTAGCTGGAAATAATTTAAGTCAATGCAGTGTTTTTGAATATAGTAAATTATCGCACAGCTCAACTTAGTTTACATAACAACAACAGCATGAGACATTTTCACTCACAAATACACTACAATCATAAAATGGAGAAAGTTTACTAAACAATTGTATGACGACGTAGTTCAAGGGAATACAGGCAAAATAGAGGGTCTCGATAATAAGTAATCACCCATGGACACTCGCAGCACCAGAGGAGCCCAAAATTCGTTGCCGGTCTATGAGGTAAGTATAGCCTCTCTTGTTGTAGGTTCCCAAGTCGTATCGGTACAGAAATACCGCTTGTGATAACTGATTTCACATTACCAAGTTCCATCCTATCGCCATTCACTATCCACAAAGTGGTGATATGTGCCAAAAAATTACCTGAAAATCGCACAGCAGTTGACTCCAAATTATCAAGGCGATATCGACCCTACATTTGCATCTGATACTTGCTAAGACTAAGTTTCAGTACACAATGTATAAACCTCTGATTGAGTCACGTACCTGCTTCTGCATGTGGTGTTGATGGAATAAGCGCTGCTTCATCAGCGCCTGCAGCTGCGAGTGCTGGTCGAGGAGTTGCATCGCGAGCAGATCTGGTGCGACCAACGGCAGCGGGGACCTGGGGCCAGGGCCGCCAGCACTACCGGCAGGAGATACCGGGGCTGGACTGGAGTGGGCAGAGCCTCCGGTAGGCGACGTCGGCGCTGACGCCTGGATAATTTGTCGAAAAAGTATAGCAGATCTAGAAGTTGATTCGCATTGATTATAGCAACGTAAATAATAACGTTATTGTTTGATAATCGTGCAGAATTTTTGAAACTTAAATCGGACCGGAAGTAATAAAAGTCATAACAAAAGTTTAAAATAATCTAAACAACATGAATGAATTTAATTTAAACCCAATTTCACTCTCATTCAACCAACAAGTAAACTGTCATAAACGAAGCCATGCTGATTTTTGAACTACTTATTTTTATTCGAAGCGAAGATGCCTCCAAAATCCCTTCTAAAACCTTACAGTTGAGTACAATCTGGGGATGTACAACGAGTTGGGGCTGTCGGCTTCTCTTCTTTTCGAATCAAAATAGCTGTTTAAATTATCATAGCCATTTTGTGATAAAAGGATTTGGCCAATCCGAGATACCGATTAAAGTATCCTCGCAAATTGTTCATCATCATCGAGTGACATCCATAGAGGATTAATCTCATAGAAAAAAAGGATGCGCTGGGCGTATGGTCGACTCCTAGAAGGCGGGACTCACCCTGGCCAGCGAGAGGGGCTCATTGTCCCGAGGGGGTGAGGCGCGGCGTGGCGGCGAGCTACGCCGGCGCCGGCGCGCCGCGTCGCCCCACCTGCCGGACTCCTCTCTGGAAAGGATCCCACCAGAACGGCTTTTGGTCACCACTTGATGATGGTACTGATAACAGGAGCGGCTTTTCGTATAGCAAGATCAATGAAAAGTAACCCAACTTTTGTTTATCCAACCATAAAAGAGAATTGCAGTAGTAATATTAAAGTAAGAGCCTATATCCCACTGCTGAGCAAAAGAGTCGTGTGTTCATATTACGGCAAAGTCAACCACGTTCATGAGAAAATAAATTATGTTTTGATGCACTCTTTATTTAGCATAAGTTAAAAATTACAGTTGATTTCAAATAAATTATATCGTGTTAAATAATTCTTAAGTTATTAAAGAACAATCATCGAGAGAACAACGCTTCTCCTTGATGCATTCTTTATAAAATTTTCGAAAGCTTAAATGTACAAGACACAGATTGTCTTGTACATTGTTGACGCCATAGTTATTGAAGAAGATTTAACATAATTCTTGTTGTGAATTACAGTTGATACCAAAGGTATTGCAAGTTCAGTGGGAAGAGCTCTCACCGGTCCAAACAGCGGTCCAGCTCGAATGAGTTGAGTAGCGGCGGCTTGGCAGCACCGCCCGGGCTTGAGTTCAGTGCCGGCTCCGGACCCTGGGGGCGAAACTCATATCAAAAACAATGACCTGGAGAAAATCATGTATGAAGAGGATAAGAATTACGGAGGATACCGGGCCCTAAAATTATGTAAGAAGAGGATAAGGGATACCGGACCCTAAGGGACAAAAGTTATATCATAAAAATGACCCAGAAAAAGACACTTATCAGGAAATTGAGGGATATATTTGATGCAAAAAATGTATAAAACAGTAACTTGGAAAAAAATATTTATGAAGAAGATGGAGAATATGTTCAAGACAAAAAGCATCAGCCTACTCTTGCGATACCGAGGCGTAAGTTTTATTTTATGTTCGTATGTATATGTAAGATAATAAGCCCATTTGTACAAAACAAAAAATGGAAGATGTTACGGTAGCTCTACCATTACCATCTTCCCATTTTACTTTCGAGCATCATCTGATTGTGTCTTATTAAATACAAGATAACCATTTGCTTCAGAATTTCCGCTGTGTAAAATTCTGTAACGATAAGGACCAATTTGTTCTTCTTATTCATTTTTTCTCTTCATGATGTTAGTGGCTAGGTTTTACGGCCACCTGCCTTTCATCCTTTGGAACGAATCCTCAGATCCGAATAAAATATCTTTAGGTTACACAAATATTGTTCTTATAGGGGAATTACTCCCCGGGCACCTTAGTAGCTTAGTAGCCAGATATGTACCTGTCCAGATATGACCTATAGAATATAATAATTTTGATCCCCAAAGGAAGTAAAGTATTATTAATCATGCTTTATATCCACACTACTCGACTATTTTCAAAGAAAGAATAATTAAAATTATTCAAAAAAGTTTATAAAAATCAAATGGTAAATGGTATTTTAATTGATAAATTAACAATGTTTTAAACTAACATCAACATAAATGATATTTCCGCTGGACCAGAGGCAGTAGAAAATAAATAAGTATAGCGATAACGCAAAAGCGAAAACATCTTTCGATACAGATAAAAACAAGTAGACATACAATATCACAACATCAAATTTAACGTCTCAAACGAAACAATAATATATTATTTACAGATACAGTATGTCTGACGATTTAAACTCCTAGTTCTGTATATGAAATGTATATCAATGTTTTATGAGGCAAGGTAGTAAACGAGTAGGGCCTTTCCCTGACATCCACAACACTCAGAAATGCAGTCGTGTTTCGATGCCAACTACCTAATAGGGGCAACATGACATGTCCCTATTACCTCGCTGACCGTACAAAATGCGATACAATTTCAACGGAATGACATAATTCATCCATACCAATCATTTGAGAGGCAAACGGAAACGATAAATCGAATTAATTGTTTCCGTTCTTTATTTAATTAAAGCTAAGCAAATTACTAACGCTATCTTAAAAGTCAGCTAGCGGTCCTGAAAGTCTTCGCTCCTGTAAAAGCACCATATAATTGATGACGCCAATGACGTGATCCACCGCCATGTGTGGCTGCAATTGATGTACGTCAAATATTACGAGACGTATTACAAAAATTAACACGCCTTAGCAGCACCATCAAATTGATGACGATGTCAAATACTAGAACTAAATAATGAGCTGACCAGCCGCCAGATGTCGTATGAATTCGGTCATACATCAGTGTCGTCTGAGAAACAAATATTACGGACCGTCTACCGAAAAGGCCTGCGTGAAGTGGAAGCATTTATACTGCAGCTCCTGTGAGTTATATGAACCGACGATTCCCCTCTTAAAGGCCCACTTACACACACAACCAGGGATCACTTAATATCAGCTAAAGCTTAAGTGACCTTTTAGACTAGCATAGACTAACAGAAGAGGATTTTTATGTAAAAACTTGGCAAGAGAGCAGGCTGTTGGTTCGCCTGACGTTAACTGACTACCACAGTACATGGATATCTAAAACACCAGAGGGTTTACAAATGCTTTAAAAATCTTATAAACAGAGAGCCCCGGTTAACTTTCTTACAAGTAGAAACGCGAAAGACTAAAATACTTCCACTTCGCGCCGGTCTTGTGTGAACGTGCTATTGAAAGACAAGCTTGCCCATTCGTACAACAGCCGAAGCGGTTGTGTGGCCCTACCTTGGTAAACAGCATGTGGCCATTAGTAAGTGGTTTAAAATAAAACCAGTAAGCCACGTATATCATTTATATTGGACACTACACGGACAGAAGGGCACAGACAGTCAAGATATATAAAGAATGGTCTTGAGCATAGAAACGTACGACAACCCCCCTAGATAGAATGGCGACCTGTGTGCGGAAAGTCGATGGATGCCGGTGGCTCAGGATCGAACTTCGTGGCGGTCTGTGGGGAGGCCTATATTCAGCAGTGGACTCAAACAGGCCGAAACGATGATGCTGATAGACTTACGAACTAGCAAGGCTCCTTGGGATATAGAAAATGCCAACTCACTAGCCAACCGCGACGTCACACCGCCCGGGGAACCCTAAAATAACTAATCACTGTGTTATTGAAACCGTCGAACGATCAGCGGCAAACATGTTTACAGTATGAGGTCACCTAACAGTGCAGGGAGATGTGTTTTGATACATAATATGGGGCTGTATAAACAGGGCAACGGCTGCGACAAGTGTTTAATGTAAACTGTTTTAAGTGCATTTATTTTTTTCTATAACATCCGCGTCTGATTGTCTCCGTCCGCGCTAGGCTAGATTCCGGAGCCAACTCTTCTTGCGCAGGCAGTCTGCGTTGAATTGATCTACAGACGGCCGATTAATTGTCTATGAATATCTGAATGGCGAAAAAGAATTCTCGGCGAATGACGCTTTCGGGAATAATCTAATAGCAACGAAAAATATCTGTCTAGGACTAGAGTTTGGATTAAAAAGATTCACTGTATAAAGAAACGATTCAATTGATTCACCTGTAAATTAAATTAAACAATTGTACCTACTTTTTTCATTTCGTTCACATAATATCACTCTTTTTTTTTTATTTCTTGTTTTACGCGAATATTATACATATTAAATGAAACTAGTTTAGGGATTTTATCGCGATTTAATTTTGATTTTTAAATCCGTACGGTTTCGAACCCTTTCCAGCATTCATGGTCACGGGACAGATTGATTTGTTTCACTTCTTGATTTCAAAGTTAATCCAGGCTACCACCAATTATTTTATTATTTATTTTTATTCTGATCTACGCAAATGGAGCTGACGGTATCTTGAGGTCTAGCAGTGTACGTTTGCTTGGATAACATTTCATAAATTATGGGATCCCAAGCAACAATGAAGTCTGTAGTTATTATATTAATATATTTGTACATGCCGTATTTTTGCTGGGTATCCTGTTATGATAAAACTACTTAAAATGACGCTACTATTTTGTTTGAAGCAAAATTCTCGTTGTACAAATACGAATGAATAATTGATTGGCACCGCGAAGTACGCAAGCCATAATTTGATTAAATAAATATTACTATTAATTAAAATTTTAGAAAACCTTTTGTACACAACGTCAATAAACATACATAAAGTTACTTTTCTTTTGTGAAGAAATACATATTATTCACATATTCACAAATAGACACTGGAAAACACTGTGTTCATCCCACAATATTTTTCCAGTAGTGGGGATCAAACCCACACCACTCAACCCGGCGCAAGAGGCAGGTTAACTACCTAAAAATTAACGAAAATAGTTGACTCTATGATATTATGACATAACACAATAAATAGCAATCATGTACTAAACACCAACAGATAATATGTTCACGCATGTTTACTATGCCACAAAAACGCGAAAGATCGCAGAATGCGATTTCTGGACGAGAGACGTGTGTTTATGTTTACCCACATGTATTTATGTCTGTAACGGATCATTTTGCTTGTAATCAATAAGCTAGGTCATCGTTTTCCGTCCGCCGAAGTATTCCTTCCGCTTGGGAAGCATTTTACGCGCGTCATATAAATCATAGTCACGCGTGCTCGCGCGGAGTCACGTCCTGGCGCGACCTACGTGATTTAGCCAATAATATCGACCTGGCGTAGTTGTTGTTTTAATTCCTTTCGTAAATAACGTCGTTTGGATGACGCCGTGCCCATCGTGAGGGGGGACATTTTTTTTGATTATTAAGAATCTATTGAAAATATTTTGAAGACGATAATGAGATCATGACCTGAAACCGCTTTGCGTACTACACGGACGAATGAAATAAATATAAAAAGTCAAATTTCTTTGTTTCATTTTTTTTTGTGAGAGAATGGAAAACGAGCTGGCGGTTCACCTGATGTTAAGTGATAACCGCCGCCCACGAACATATGCAAAACCCGTAGGGTTGCAGATGCGTTGCCACCTTTTGATAAAGTGGGCTCCGGCTACGTCACTCACCAGACGAACGCCGGTCTTCTGTGAGGTCGTGGTACTAACCCGGACGGATCTGCCCATTTGTGCAAAACCAAACACTGTTGCGTGGCCCTACCTCAGATAAACTAGGTTATATTATTGCCATTGGCAACATAATGTTAATATATAAATATTTTACAAATTTTATAGATACATGTATACACCTCTTCATAATCAGACGATTGTTAAATTAACAGAAATCTTAGAAAAAAATTCTTCTCTTACCTGTCTCACTGCGTACAACATGACAGCTTCTTTTCTCTCCTTCGATGTATTTGTTGATATCTCGATGTATTTATCAATGTTTCAACTTCTACTTAATGGTATTTATAACTCACAGTCTAAATTATCTAATATTGAGTAATTCACTTAACTTTCAGTCAAACACTTAGAGAATATACTTAATTTTAAACTATCGGTTATTCTCATTATTATTTAAAATGAATCTAAAGGATATTTCCTATGCTATTTATTCTGTAATGAAAGATTTTATACGATTAAAATAGTTAAAGTTATAGTTCAACCTTCTATATACGTTAAAGTGAAAATAAAAATAGCGTGAAAAGTAGAAATCGTTCTATTTTTTTATTGTTTTTAACAAAAATTAAAATTGATATGTGAAAAAAGTAAAC